CCCTGAGCTCCTCCTGCCTTGCGATAGGAATCGGCGCTGCGGCCCGAGAACCCTGTCCTCGCCTGCGCGGTCTCCGAGTCGCTGGGCACGGTGAAGGACCCTGCCCGTTTCCTTGGCATGGCCAGAATGTCCAGCCGGGACAGCTTCTTGGCCTCCACAGGCTTGGGGCCCTGAGTGGTGGCTTCAGAGCTGGAGGCTGTTTTGTCAGCATTCCTGCCTTGCGATAGGAATCGGCGCTGCGGCCCGAGAACCCTGTCCTCGCCTGCGCGGTCTCCGAGTCGCTGGGCACGGTGAAGGACCCTGCCCGTTTCCTTGGCATGGCCAGAATGTCCAGCCGGGACAGCTTCTTGGCCTCCACAGGCTTGGGGCCCTGAGTGGTGGCTTCAGAGCTGGAGGCTGTTTTGTCAGCATCAACACATTCGTTGTCCGAAGCATCTCCCAGCCGGGCACGGCGTAACTTGGAGGCCCTCGTGGGCCGTGGGGTGGATAAACTGTTGGAGCGGGTGAGAACCTGCTGGATCTTCTGCACGTTTGAGGTTGTTTTGCTCTGGTCCTCCTTGGTGGCCTGAGTGTAAGGTTTCCTTCTGGGAACTGGCCGGGTGTGCTCGTGGTCAGACACGACGGTGTCAGGGACCGGCGAGTAGGGCAAGTTGGAACTTCTCTCATCGTCTGTGAAGTCAAGTGACCCTCGAGTGCCAGCGCTTCGCTTCATCTGGAAGCGTTTGGTGGCCTCCACACGGTTTGGTGCCTCTGGGGCTTGTGTTTTCCTCTTCTCTGTCAGCCTGTCCCGAGCAGTGGGCTGCCCACACTGGTCCTGGATGGAAGGTGTGGAGGAGGATTTCTCCTTCTGCAGGCCTGGCACCGCTTTGCGCTTCGGGGCGCTCGCCGGGACATTTTTGCCACTCACCAAGCTGACTGTGCTGGCAGTGTCCACGTCCGAGTCCCCGGACAGGGAGTCCTCCAGCTGACCAGCAGTTTCTGAGGGCTCCAGCTGTTGGCTTTGACTAAGTAATTTGGCTTCCAGTGCTGCCAAGGCAGTTTCAGTATCCTTAAGGAGAAGGTGAGTCTCCTGACCGAAGTCCATACGAGTTGACCGAACAGTCTCTAAATCTTTCAGCAGGGGGTGACTTGAAATATGTGGGAGTTTATTTTGGGGAACACCACTGCTTGATTTATCTTTGGTAAAACTTTCCTGTCTAACAAAAGACGCTGTTTCTTTTCCTGACGTGTTTTCTTGGTCTTGAGGAAGACTCTGATGAAGGGAAATAACAACTTTCCCCGCTGTATTTATGTAAGCACTAACATCTTTGACCGGTTGCTTTCCAGGAACTGGTGTGCCAGCACACTTGTAGGAAAACTCCTGATCCTTGCTGTCTTTGTCTGCTCTCAGAGAGAGCTTAGAGGGAACCCCCACATCACTGCTGTCATCACCAATGTAGAACGAAGTGGAAATTGGCTCACTCACAGCTCTGACGTGTGAGACACGGGAGGCTCCTGGCTGCCTACTCTCTGATCTATTGTCTTCCCCCATCTGCTCTAGAATTTTGTTGTTCTCCTTGTATTTCTTGCCTTTCTCCGTGCTGAAGCCATCGTCAGATCTGCTGGCATCACTGAGGCTATCTGGATCCAGGTCCTCCTGGATGAAGAGGCGGCTGCTGGGATCTCCAAAGGCTTCCACACCGTGGTCCTTCACCACAGTCCTCTTAGAAACCTCAGAGTAGGACTCCTGGCACACCAGGACTGTGTGTGTGGGGCTGTCAGCTTTGTCACTCGGTGGGAGCTGGGGAAGAAGACGTCTTGTTCTTGAGGGCGCAGAGTTTTCTAATTCCCCAGGTTTTGGGGCTACACTGCTGTCTGAAGAGAGACAAGTGGACAAGAATCAACTATTGTACAACCACACCCACTCCTTTCTTTCTTTAGACTTTGATCCTGCAAAATGTTAAGTCCACAAAAACACTCACAAGATGTGCTTCGGAGTTTGTTTGTCATACCAATATCAACAGAGCTGGTCCTTGCTCCCTCAGGTTTATCAATACAGACATTATACCTAACTCCTTTGCTGAATCACTCTCCTCAACACATTCCCTCTCTCCAGGCAGGATTTCAGAGTCATTCTCCCATCATATACCTCTCAGTACAAGCATACAGAGGCTAATGACATTGAGGGCACCTATTGGCCATAAATCAGGCCACAGGAATGGCACAAAAAGCCATCAGTGATGCAGTGCTTTCAGTGCCACTCTACACAACATCACCCACAGATGGCATTTTTCATAACACAAGCTCTCCTATAATCCTATCCCACAGCAAAGACCCAGGAGAAAGAAGACCCTGTAGCAACCAAGAGGCTCTAAATTAGAGCCCCCTGCCCCAGAGTGGGTTGGGCTTATCAGCAGGGACACACTTCAGATAGAGCACTTCTGTTTCTCCCATGCCCAGGACTTCAGCCCTGATACTGCCTTTGAATTCCAGGATAACTGGTTACTTGACTATGGGACTACAGGAGTCAGGTTCTCACACAGTTTGAAAACAGCGGCAATGACCTCTGAAACAAAAGTTCCTTCTAATCTTGAGTGAATCTATCTATCTACAGCTGTTGATGGCAAGAAGGTCATGACAAGTATTTCCAACCAAAAAAGTTGGAAATATTTGTCATTACTTTCTTGCCATAACATTTACAAAGGCCAGCAAAGCACCTTCCTCCTTTTCTCACACACCATGAGGACCACAGGGTCTGTAAGGTGTCTTCCCACTTAGGATGGGAGTCTGATCTCCTCCCACCTCCCTTCTCCCCTCCAGAGAGTGTTTTCTATGCTCATCTCCACACTTCAAACCTGCCACTTGACAGCAAAGCCCAGAACAGCCTCAGTTCTTAGCACAGCCAGACACAGGGGAAGCACACACAAAAATCACAAGCTGATGTTGGAGTGGGATCCGGACCTGGAGTAACGATGAGTCTCAATATGAGTATGGTCGTTCTCCTTTATTCTTAGTACTTACAACATATATATAGACATTTACACAGAGTACGCGAGCGCAGCGGATACATGATTGGTTTATTGCCCTTGTCCCAGTGTCCAGGTTAAACTTATGACTGGAGCAAGCAGGTGTCTGTCCACATTCCAGGATGTTTTCAGGAATACCAGGGAGCTTGTTGACACCGGACTCAGAGCCGGTCAGAGCCAGCTCTGCCAGGCAGAGCTCGCTCCTTATCAGCAGTTCAAGGCTAAGTCACAGCTGCTGTAGGCCTTACACCACACTACAAGCTGGGTTGTCAGCTTCAAGGAAATCATGTCCCTTTTCGCATAGCCATTCCTCCACAAGCTGGCAACTAACTCCAGGGCAACTTGCAAGCAGTTTTCATCTGGCATCTCAAGGTAGTCTAAAGGATCACTACTCAGGGCTGGTTAACACCCAAAGCCTTAGGATCTTTCTCCTTCCCAGGTACCCTTTGGTCATGCCAAAGCTAACATTTAAGAACCTCTTGGATGACCCTGAAATGCAAACCAGAGGCTCTCTCCATCTTCAACCCACTGGGAACAATTTACTCTGTCCTTCCCATCCCCAACACACTAGCTGAAACAGAAAATAAGGCACAGCCAGGGGCACAGAAACCCTTCATTTCTGCTTTTTGTAGATTCAGCTACCTTCCAACAGCAATGTCAGATGAGACTTACCTGCACTTCCATCACCCTGCCCAGAAACAGATCCAGAGTCAGAGTAACTGTCTGCAAGGCTTGCCCACCTGGACACCCACTTCTGACTCCCCTGAGATGCTGCAGACATCTAGAACAAGGTGAGGAAGATGAAGTCAGAGAGAGGGTTTGCAAATGAAATCCTAGCTACAAAATCTCTCCTCTCATACACACAACACTGTCTCCTCCAAAGGGAAATCAAGATACACATCACATTTACATCCAGACAGAAAACACCATCTACACCTTCACCACCCCAGCAAATCCACCTGGACCAAACATACCTGAGCTTCAGCCTGAGACCCACTCATAGCTTTTGAGGAAAAGGCCTGGAGCAAGGGTGACTTCTGACTAGTGCCATTTTCACTGATCAGATGCTGCTGAGAACCAGAGTCATCTTTTTCACCTTTAATTACTGGTCTAAAGGCTGAGGAGATCCTGGAAAATTCGGGTGACTCAAGCACACCAAAAACCTGCAAAGGTGTTTGCATGGGAAAGATTAAACCCCAAGAAAACAGAAACATATTAGCCCAAAATCCCAATTCATGAAACATTAGTCACACTCAAACTATGATCTCAAAGGGCCAGAAACACTTGCCAACATTTCCATATGAACTATGCAAATAATTTCCTTCTGCACTCCACAACAGCAGCTTTAAATACACTAATTCATAGGGTTCCACTCACACCCACCTTTCCTCTCTCCCTCATTACTTCTGCCTGCAACAGGAGCAACTTTCACTGAAAATGAGTCCCTTTTCAGCCCTGAGCAATTTGGGATGAGTGTCAGGAAAGCTATTTACCAGCTCATTCATGGGAGAATTAGGAAGAAAAGATGGCAAAGCTCCATCCCAGAGTCTGTCATAGGCTGCACAGTGAGTGGGCTCAGCCAAGCCTTGCACTGCCACACGAGGACCTGGGAAAGGATGCACCTCTGAGATGGCTGTTTCAGCCACTTGGACAGATGCCCTCTGAAGTTAAACAGGTCTTCCTAAGGGGGAGACCAAGCCCCATGCCTTGTTTCTCTTCCCTGACTACAAGAAGCTCAGAGAAGATCCCGCCACGGAGGGTGCCTTGGCTGGGCAGAGATAGCCATAAAGAACTCTCACTCGTTAAAAAAAGTGTGTGTGCCATGGTGGGGGAATGAAAAGCAGACACACCTCAAAACCTCAGCAAGCCCAGAATTCATCTCTTCCTGGACAGAAAGCCTGAGGCTGTTACCAGCTGTTTCCCACGTGGCACATCTGCACTGTACCAAGCCTATGGCAGAGTCAGGAGCAGAACTTGGGTGGTTCACCTGCCCAAGTCACATCACTGCTGAGACTACTCCCCAGAAATAATTTCTTTTTGTGGTGTTTTCCCTATTATTTCCCCACCAGAACAATTCATCAACTCACATTAGGACTAGGCCCTTGCTTCAGCTTAAACACCATGTCCTGAAAGCTCCCAACCACATTTCAAACAAGGTGCAAGGAACAGATGGAACAAATAAACAAAAGCAGGAAGCTCAGGCTCACAGAACACTGTACACAAAGCTCTAAAGCCAGGTTCAATTAAGGCTTCCTTTAACTCTCACCATCCTCCTGACAACATTTCACCAAAGCTTCACAGCAACTTGCCAGTTCTGTTTTCACAATGGACCGCAGATGGAAGTTAAACCTGCAAATCAGCCAAGCTTTTGTTTGCCCTGTGGTTGCTTAGTTGGGTGGGTTCTTTTTAAGCTTCCCTCCTGCCTGGGCTGTTGTTTCCAGGCTATCCTGCACTCTGCAAAATCCAAACAAGTCGAGATCCATCCAGGATTGCCTTTGCCCTACACCACACCCTCCTCTATCTCAGCTAGCTGCCGCTTGCCCGGTGAGCAAGCACACAACCAGGCACAGCCAAGCACAGGAACACCTAACACTAAGGCTTGTGCACAACCAAGAGCACCAGCCCTTGGCATTTCTTTTGGCCTACCACCGGATGCTGCCTCAGTGATGGGCTGCAGATCCCATCTCTCCCAGTGGACAGGAGGTGAAGCAATGCCAAGGCAGAGGCTTGGGAGCAGTCCTAGACAGCAGAGCTGCTCCCAGCCCCAGCAGGATCAGCCTGATCTTTCTCCAGGTGTTGCCTTTCCTCTAAACAGATGGCAAGCCCACTCTTGTGCTTCTGCATCTAAATCCTGTTTGGAAGCAAGGCAGCTCTTTGCTGTGGGCTTATCTTGGCTTCTTTTGCTCTGTGTTTGTTTGTAACCTTGTTGTTTTGTTGGGGTTTGTTAAAGACCAGACTCCCAGTTTGTTGGGGCCTATCCTTAACACAGCTCACCTAGGATGACTTTCTACCCCTCACTATAGCCCAATTCAAAGAGGAGCAATCCTTCACAGCAACAGCTCGTGAAGTTAGGCTCTCCAGCACAAGGTGGGGAAGCCTAAGCCTTCAGCCCTCAGCCCACCAGCCAAGCACAGAAACGCAGCACTAGAATCACAGAACCATCAAGGTTGGAGGAGACCTCCAAGATCATCAAGTCCAACCATTAACCTGTCACTGCTGGAACCCCTAAACCCCAAACCAGATCCTCCAGTGCCACATCCAGCTGCCTCTTAATGCTGATTCTTTTCACTTCCAGCCATGACATTAGGTGCTGGACTCATTTGGCTTTTCCTCTCTGATAGGTACCTCAGGAGGATTTCAACCACCATCAGATCCAGACATTTCTTACACACTTCCAGGGACGGTAACTCTACCACCTCCCTGGGCAACATCCCAGTGCTGAACACCCTCACAGGGAAAGCATTTCTCCTCACATCAGCATTTACCTGATCTATCATTTTTCGTGCTTCTTCCACCTCTTTATCCTGTGACTCCGTCTCAATGGTGTATGTGCCTGTCTCGCTCACGCTGTCTTCCTCATCATTCCTCCTGCCCTGGGCAGACTTCACCTCCGGAGAAGGAGCAGAAGCAGACTCTGGTTCTGATGATATAACCACCCGTGGAGCTACAGGCATGGGCAGAGGGGCTGGTTTCTCAGCGCTCTGCTTCCCAGGCTGCGCAGTCTCCCTCAAGTACTCAGCCATAAAATCCTGAGCCATCTTAGACTTCCTCCCAACACTCCCATACATTTTGCCTGATGTTCTTGAAGCAGAGGAGGATGCAGAGTTGATCCGGTCCTCCGTCTTCTCCCTCTTGAAGGAGCTGGTTCTTTGGGCACTGCAGGAGCTGTTATTGGGTTTCCCCACCTGTGCTGCGAGGTGGGATGGAGGAGCTGAATTCCCAAGTTTCTCGGCCGGGGATGTGTTCTTGCGTTTCTCCACCTTGGCCTTGGGGTCAGCATCGCTCTGGGAGGAGTGCGCGCTGTGCGTGAAGGACTGCGAGCGCTTCTTGCGCGGCGTGTCCTCGAAGAACTCGATGACAAAGGCCTGTTTGTTGTGCAGCATCTCGTGCGGGTCACGCCGCAGCTGGCGCTGCAGCCTGGTCTGCTCCATGGGACGATCACTGCCCGGGGTCACCTCCTGCTCCACCTTGGGTGCCACAGGGTCCTCGGAGTCGCTCTGCGTCCCGTCCTCGTGCCGATGGCCTAAAAATAAAGGAGTGCACATTTGACTTGCATGTTTGCAGTTGGGGCTGCCCTGTCATTACTTCCCAGTTGAGATTTAGCATTCTAGTTGGAAGAAAAGCAGCACAGAATATTTGGGGTTGGAAAGGACCCCTGAGGATCAACTAGTTCAACTCCAGGCCCTGCACAGACATCCCTGACAATCACACCCTGTGCCTCAGAGCATTGGCCAAACACCTCTGGAGCTCTGTCAGCCTTGGGGCTGTGCCCACTGCCCTGGGGAGCTGTTCAGTGCCCAAACACCTCTGGGGAAAGAAGAACCATTTGCTAATCTCCAGCCTAACCCTGCCCTGACACAACTTCAGCCCATTCCCCTATAGGACTAAACAACTCCAGGGACATTGCATCCCATCAGAAGAAACAAAAGACAAAGTAGCTCTCTCCTGACACCACTTTTCACTGCCTGTGGGCTATTAAGTTAATTATTTACTCAAAAAAACCTCAAGAAATAATTTCAGTCTCATGAGTAATACTGATTGGGTTAGATACCTAATGTTTTAGATACCTAATGTAACACTGGTGGGTTTAGATAACTAATACCATTAGGCATATAATTTTTTTCAATTTAAATAAAAATGATGACATGATTTTGCTGTTCTGCTCAATTACTGTAGTCATAGAATCAGAGAATTTTAGGGGTTGGAATGGATTTTAGAGATGATCCAGCCCCAACCCCTGCCCTGGGCAGGGACACCTCCCACCAGAGCAGGTTGCTCAAGGCTCAGCCAACCTGGCTGTGAACACTGCCAGGGTTGGGGCAGCCACAGCCTCCCTGGGCAACCTGGGCCAGGGTCTCACCACCCTCACAGGGAAATTTCTGCCGAAGATCTAACTTAACTTTTTAAAAATCACCTTGCTAGGTTCTCTCTGTTACAGAGCAGAAATATCTCTACAGGAGCAGTAAATAAACCCCCACAATGAATCCCACAAAACCAAATTCCCATGATGAAAGAGCAGGTCAGTGTGTTCCATGTACATAGTAGATTCATCTCTGAGCATCCAGGTTACCCTACAAGGGGGAGATAAACCAGAGGCTAGCAGAAAAGTGAATTTGCAGGATTCTTTTTCCTAGAGATTTAATAATCACACCATGACATTAAGAAATACACCATCCTGTCACCAGCCAAGCAAAGGTTAAATCATTACTTAAGAGTTCACTAAGCTTGAACTAAGTGTATAATTATTTTCACTTAAAGAATCATAGTTTTAGGGGCTGGAATGGACCTTAGAGATCACCCTGCCCTGGGCAGGGACACTTCCCACCCACCAGAACAGGTTGCTTAAGGCTCATCCAACCTGGCTGTGAACTTTTTGGCTCCTCTGGACTTGCTCAAACAGTTCTGTGTCCTTCTAATGTTGAGGGCACCAGAACTGTGTGCAGGATTCCACGTGGGCCTCACCAGAACACAGCAGAGGAGCAGAATCACCTCCCTTGCCCTGCTGCCCACACTCCTGTGGCTGCAGCCCAGGCCTGGGTTGGTTTCTGGGTTGAGCTCACACTGCAGCTCATGGGGAGTTTCTAATCCATCACCCCCAAGTCCCTCTCCTCATTGCTGCTCTCAATTGTTAGTAACTTATGTTAGCAACCAGCATCTTTACACCTGTCTCTGTATCTGTGCCTGCCCCTCAGCACCTTAACTCAGGCCTCTCAGAAAGTGAGTTGAAATAAAACAAAGTCAGAATGAAAACAAAAAGGTCAAAGTAAAACAAAAACAAACCTTTTTTTGCAGAAGGAAACAGGTGTGATGGCACAGAACACGACTCAGTCAACGACCAGGAACCTGTCATTGGGAGAACGGGGAAAGAGGTCTCTGCGCTCCAGACTGGAACATGCAGCAAGATACACTGGCTCAAAACACCACGTGTTTGAGAGGAAAACTGCACAAACCTCCTTTGCAAGTTCTCCAGACCCATGGATGAAGACCATTTATTACATTGAGTTAACTGTGAACAATTTAATTCAACCATCCATGCAACCTAGGAGTCAGTTCTGTGAAGAGTTTCCTAATGGCCTCGTGAGGGAAGCCAGCAAACTTTGCATTGTGCCCTGAGGGCTCATAAGCTTCACCCTTGGAAGGGAAAGGTGTTAAATGAAAGGTCTTGGCTAAGAACTCTTGCTGAGGACACAAGGAAAACATCCACCATGCACATGGATGTCCCAGCAAAACAGCACGCACATCCTCTCAAGGTGCTAAGACCTGAACTCTCTAGTCTCAATACTAAGCTTTACATTCACGACGTTGTTCCTGGAAGTGAACACATATTACTAATCATAGAATTTTAGGGGTTGGAATGGACCTTAGAGATCATCTAGTCCCAACTCCCTGCCCTGGGCAGGGACAACTCCCACTAGACCATCCTGCTCAAAGCCTCATCCAGCCTGGCTAATGAACCCCATCAGTGAGGATCTCTGATCCTGAAGACCCAAAGCTGGAAGGCAGCCAGCAGTAGGCTCCAAGACATCTTCACAACAATTAACCCTGCCAGAAGAACATGCTCCACAGCTATCACAGGTAAATGACACTCTGTCCTCTGCCAAAACACAAGTGGATAAACTCCTCAGGCCACCAACGCTGTTTGTCTTAATCAAATGTCCAAAGAGTTCATTTCTTGATATGCAAACTACCCTAAATTACCTCAGCTTCTTCCCATGCCATATGGGCTGTAGAGAGGAAAGTGCAGCCAGCCTAGTGTTCCTGTGTGCTGCTCAACTTTCTAGTTTTCTCCAAGAACAAAGAATAAAATTACTGACGCACATTTCTATCCCTGACAAGGTTCTCCAGCAAGTCAACAAAATACAAGACCACAAGAACCAAAAAAACCAACCACAGCCACAAACCCTCCATCCCACAGTCTGAATAGACTGAAAATAAGACCCTAAAGAACCAAGTAGGACACCCCAACACTCTCCCTTATCGGGAAAAACTAGAAACGAGCAATGATAGCAGAACAGTTCCATTTCCATGCCATGCCAAATCCCATGGCTGAATATAACCATCTAACCATATGGGGTTCTCAAAAATATGTACCCAAACCAGCAACTTGGAGATATAATAGGTAAAACTCCTCATACTAAGAGGGGGTTTTTTTTCCAACAAGGCCCAAGCAAATACTCCTTTAAGGGAAAACAAATAGTGCTCTCATTTAAGCAAGACCTCAAGCACAAGTAGGTCTGGTAACCAAAATATAACTTCATGAGTTACAGCTGCAGTAAAAAACAAGAGCTTTTGCAGAGGCAAGGCACAGAGTGCAGGAATCAGTGGCCCCCTCCTACCTGCTCAGTGCATGGCCCAAGAGAGACACCCAAGTAAGCCTAAACCTTGCAAGAGAATCATGTGAGTTCCACCAGCTGCAGTGAGAACTGGGCTCCAAGCTACAGCTCAGACCTTTGGAAATACCCAAAGAATTCCTCACAGTGACACACTTAGCAGGACACAGGTCTGTGAACCCTTAGGTTTTTAAATAGAGCAGGATCTCAGAGAAGCTTTAGTTTAAGAGGAGAAACTTTCTACAAGCACAACAACTTCATAGAATTCTGGGGGTTGGAATGGAGCTTAGAGATCATCCAGCCCCAACCCCTGCCCTGGGCAGGGACACCTCCCACCAGAGCAGGTTGTTCAAGGCTCAGCCAACCTGGCTGTGAACACTGCCAGGGTTGGGGCAGCCACAGCCTCCCTGGGCAACCTGGGACAGTGTCTCACCACCCTCACAGGGAAAACTTCTGCCGAAGACCTAATAACTTTCTCTGTTAGGGATCATGTATATCTCAACTCTACCACTAGTCTGTCAGGACCTTTTGTCATCTGACTGTGGTCATTACAGCCATCAGGATGATCACATTTAACCTCTTCTGGACTACAGCTAGAAAGAAAAGTCATTCCATCATCTAGCAGAAGCCAAGAGAAGAAAATTCATTTGTGTTTACCAACCTGCCTGATTTCCTGGAAATTGTTTTAGACATTTGAAAATCAAAACCCCTTTTTCAGCCACTCTTACTGCTTAGCTGCCATTACAGATGGAGTCACATGAGAGTGTCCCCCCAGGCCAACAACACAAGTGACTCCAAGGCCAGGTGAAGAGCCTGCTAGCCAGATTCAAAACCATGAACAAACATTAAAGTAATATTCATCTTGCAAATTTGGAGCAGAGGTAATTAAGTCCAGTTCTCCTGGACAGGAGAAGGGTTTTCTCCCATAATTATGCTGCATTTGCATGGCCAACAGAGAGCTATGTCCACATGAGAAGACATTCACTCACCTTTAAGTGTCCTCACATGAACTGGCAGGTCACTCTTGGTACTGTACACATCATCTCCTGCAGACTGCCTTCTCATCAAGCTTGGGTCATTCTGGACAAGCCAGTCAGCCACTTTGCTCTCTGCTGACATCACTTCTGTATGAGCTGGTTCCTTACTATATGGTCTTCTCTGTCTGAGGGAAAATTTAGTGACATGGTCTTTGATCTTGATTTTACCAGGGGTACCATCATCAAACTCAATGGTGAAAGAGGCATGACTCTGCACGACAGGGGCTACTACAGCATCCACATCCTTCGTTGGGATCTCATGGACCTGTGTTTCTGGAGATTTTGATGGCTGCTGAAATTCTTTAGTTGGAATCTCAAAATAACTTGGCTCCCTCCGAAAGGCAAACACAGATTGATCCTGGGCATCTCTGTAAGTGGTAATATTCCCATTCAGTTCCTCTTCATGGTGAGTTATCTCTTTTGATCTCTCTATGGAAAAAAAAAAAGGTAATTAAACCTTAAATGCAGACACAATACATTATCAGAGTTGGAAGGGAACCTTGAGGATCATCCAGTCCAACTCCTGCCCTGCACAGACATCCCTGACAATCACACCCTGTGCCTCAGAGCATTGGCCAAACACCTCTGGAGCTCTGACAGCCTTGGGGCTGTGACACTGCCCTGGGAGCTGTTCAGTGCCCAAACACCTCTGGGGGAAGAAGAACCAGTTGCTAATCTCCAGCCTAACCCTCCCCTGACACAACTTCAGCCCATTCCCTGGGTCCTATCACTGTAAATATCAAAAATGTGCAGAAGTTTTGTGTCTCACACCTTCTTCCACCCCAGAGCACCTCCATTACCTGAGTAATGCTCCTCTTGCCTTCTGTCCTCCTTGTTATTGGCATCATCCTCCCCCCACCAGGAGGGTTGTCCGTACAGAGGGGTGCGGTAAGTGTTCGTTTCTAGGAAGAGAATAAGCAAAATACTTTGACACAGAAAACACCAAGGCACCATGTTCACAGAAGTCAACTACAGGCCAGAAAGGAAAAAACAGCAAGAGCAAAGGAGATCATGAACTTGTTGCATCACAGTTATAACAGCAACTTAGACATAATAGTATGTTCAGCGGGTTTTTTTCCACCTTTTCTTCTTACTAACATTCTGCTGCAAGATGCTGAGTCCACCTCCCTTGTTCTCAATTCCTTCCCCACCCAACCTGTAGCTGTGCCTGGGATTGCCCTGACCCAGATGTACAAACTTGCACTTCATTTTGTTGAACTCCAAGAGGTTTGCATAGTTCTACCTCTCAGGCTTTGTTATTCACAGCCTCATTATTCCCAGAAAGAGGAAGAATTTTGGCAGGACACACTACAAAACACTAACCACAACATTGTCTGCAACTCACTTGCAATTCAGGTGAAAAATCAGACTTTTTTTGCCCATCTTATTTGGGAAGACTTTAGCTCTGCCCTCTCTTGTCTCAGCATGTCCTTGGATGTTCTGAAGCCAGGGATTTTTTCCACAATTCACCACTCCTACTCTAAGTGACACACATTCCACAACAGGAAATTCTTGGGGCATTACAAATGGAGGAAAAATGGTAAAAACATCTCATTGAACATTCACAGAGAAGCAGAAAACTCTTGCTCTCTAAAGTTTCAAGCAAACTGAGTGGATTCCATTGCAGGACAGAGGTTTTTCTTCTGGAGAAGCTTCCCCCAGAAGAATCAGGCTTAGAGAATTTTCTCAGTGAAGATGAGGATGGAACGGAATGGAAGACCAAGGCTTCACTGCAACCACTGGTACCCAAAGGAGAAACAATTGTTTCTTGTTTTGTATCCCACAAAACAAGACTCTGTTTCGGCAGTGCCTTTGGGCTGCTGCTGTTTATGCAACAAGTGAAAGGAATACACCCCAATTTACCTGTGGTGTAGTTAATATTGTGTTTTCATAATGGTTTGAGAGAAGCAAATAAAAGAGCTTTTGTTCCTGCATCTAGATGTGATAGAAACACCAGGATAGGTCAGGGGCTGAGGTTAAGCTCCAGCTTTGTTAGCTGCTTCTGCCTCTACCCCTAAGAGCCATCAGCAATGTCTTAAAGGTTGGATCCAGCTCTAGAGCCATAGCTGGGCTGCCACTGCCAGCTGCTGCTTGGCCTGTGGCTTTCCAACCACACACTGCTCTGTGCAAAGCAGCTCCCAAACAGCCTGGCAATTCTGCATTCCCTGCTTTCACAGGGGCATGGCAGAAAGGACTTGTTAACCTAAGGGAAGTCAGGAGGGGAATTAAAGAAGTCCAAGAAAAGAAGAAACCAGATTTTGGGTTTTATGCTGCTGTGTCTAAAGCTACACAGACCCAATGGTCACTACTTCAGATGGTTGCTTTCCAGAATAGTTCTGGAGATCTATAAATTCACACATTGACAATCCACAAGCAAAAATTTTGCCTTACAGATGCAGCCCACAGGCTCTTTTCAAGAGATTTTCATGTTCCAGGATCAACCACGCAGCCTCCCTTCACACTGAGGATCAAAAGAGGCTGAAGCATTACTCCCCTCTCTGCCAGGAGTGTGTGGAAGATAAACCCTGTTCCTATTATGTGGGAGGCCTTTGAAAGTTCAAAGGAGGAAGGATTTCTCACCATGATAAACTGAACTGCCAAACAATGTTTCATAACTGAGGATGGGTAAAGCACTCACAGGAAAGGGAAAAAGCAAAAACCTATTCACAAGGTCGTGCCTTGCCAGAACTGGCTGCTCATGGCTTGGCTGGGTAGACTCTTGCATGGGTAAAGAACTGGCTGATGGCCCAGAGAGTCATGGTCAATGGAGCTCAGTCCAGTTGGGGCTGTCACTAGTGATGTTCCCCAGGGCTCAGTGTTGGGGCAGGTCCTGTTTAACAACCTTATTGATGATCTGGACGTGGGGAGTGAGAGCACCCTAGTGCATTTGCAGACAACATTAAGCTGGGTGGGAGTGTAGATCTGCCTAAGGGTAGGAAAGCTCTACAGAGAGACCTGGACCAGATGGATCAGTGACTGAGGACAACTGCTGGAGGGTCAGTAAGGCTCAGTGCTGGGAGTGCTTAGGAGGAGAACTCTAAGATCATCAAGTCCAACCATTAAGCTGCTACTGTACTTGTAACCCCTAAGCCAGATCCTCCATTGTGAGCTCCAGACACCTCTGAAACACCTCCAGGGATGGTGACTCCACCACCTCCCTGGGCAATATCCCAGTGCTGAACACCCTCACAGGGAAAACATTTTTCCTCACATCCAATCTGACTCTCCCCTGTCTCAACTCTTGACCATTCCCCCTAGTCCTCTCCCTGCAGCCATGGCAGGAGAACCTACCTGTCTCAGATTAATAGGATCAGTTATGAAAGCTCATCAGTTGTTTATTTTATGCTGCTGGTGGGACAAATGCCAAGCATACTACCCTACAGGTGAAATGCAAAGACCACCTGCACTCAACTCTTGCACAATCAGCTCCTTTCCCAAGCATGGATGCTGTTCCTGCTTGCACCTTGCATGGAGCTGCCTCATTACAGCTTGACTCCTGAGCAACTATCACAGGATAGCAAAGGCCTCCTAGTCTAGAAGATTCCAGTGATCTGTTCCAAAAAAACTTTGTGTCCAAAGGGGCAGAAGTGAGCTAAGAGAGCTCACATCCATCCTGCAGGACAGATGTCTTCCCAAAAAGTGCCCCAGGATCTGTGTCCCACCTGTGTACTGAACACAGGAGCCTTTGTCCTCCAGGAGCTTTTATACTACAGGGAAAAGGCAGCCAGGGGAGCAAATCAGGCTTTGGCCAGGTCTTTTCTGCTGATGGGGAACTCTGGGATTGCAACAGAAGCTGAAGGAAGGAAAGCCAAAGGATTTATAAAGAATAATAAGCCAGCTCTCCTGCTGGCTCAAATTTCCCTGAGCACTAGGAGGAGCTTGGAAATTTCCCAAACTGCCCCTCTGACAAAAGCTAGCACAAAGCCAAAACCCCAGGGCATGTCAAGGAGCACCTAAAGAGAGCATAGATCTGGGGCCACCAGGGTGGGAGATGCTGTGCTGCACTCACTGCAAGGCAGCAGAAGGTTCCTCCTGCCCCACGAGACAGAGCTCATGTGGCCCCACCTGCACTGCCTGGTACAGCATCTGTGACAAAATTGCACATTCATGTGTGTGAGGGGGTTTATTCCTTTCCTCTCCCAGCCTCCACAATTAGCTGGAACTTCATTTGAAAGCTGCAAAAAGCACAGATGGAGAGCTGAGGAGTCAGTATCTTGCTATTCGGGGACAGCTTCAGTATTTGAAGAGCAATTAATGTTTCCACTGAGCATCCATATTAATTTGCATTTTGAATAACATTATCAAGTGACAGAGGCATCTCGTTCCTGGCTACTGCTGAAAGGGGCCAGATCATGAGTCAGAGTAAAATCTCCCTGGCTTTAGAAGAGCGTTGTGATTTAACCCCAGCAGCCACCAAACCCCACAGAACCACTCACTCAGTGCCCACCAGTGGGATGGAGGAGAGAATC